AATTGATTAATTTATCCAGATCTAAACTAAAGATTTCCTATAGCTAATTAACTTCATAAATTATCCGAATAAACTTAAACTACCTGATTTATTTCTACCTAGTTTAATAAGTGTCCAATCAGATCTACAGATTGGACGAAAAAATGTACTAAATATGAACTATTTTCATCCATTTCATGTAAGTGCTCACTTCAGTTTAAAATTTTAATTTATGGCTCCAGTTCACAAGAGGATCTTTTTTCTTCAACAATTGAAGTGTCTGAAGGACAATTTGCACTAATAAATTGAAATTTAACGTTTGTAAGCATTAAACTACTGGTTGTGATGAAAAAATTTAATCTCATTTGAAAGAATATCTAGTTCAGATGAAATATTAATAAATGAATTAATACAGAAAGTTATCAACGAATTAATCGAATAAACAAATAGACAAGAAAATGGACAAGAAGATGGTTTCGGTCAGTGCCAGGAACCATTCTCTATCTTCTTCCAAAAAAATGGGTGTAAGGGCGGGAGTATGACAGGGAATGGTCATCTGATGAATGGATGAATGAATGAATGCAACAGTTGTCATGCCGATTTGGCTCATCACTTTGAAACACTTCAAATGAAGCAGTTAGCAGTAAGCTTAACTAAACTTTTGAGCTTGAAGAACTATAGGAAAAAGGATACGGTAGTATCTCTCATGAATTTATTAAATCATCCCTATTAGAGAGCTTTATTTGAGTATTTTCTCTTCCTTCTCCCTCCTCCTTTTCCATTTCTTCTTATCTCTCACTCAATTCTTTTTTAGATTTCTGCAGGAGATGTAAATGGAATAATTAATTTTTCGCAAAAATCTCCTCATATGTTTTTCACCTATTCTTTCTATTCACTTTACATTTTCATTGCAGTATTAATGAATAAATCTGATAAAAATGAATGAAACTAATATTACAATTTTGAAATATTCTTGCTGCTTTTGCCTATTTTCTCCTAAATTCTACAAAATCCAAAAAAATCTACCATTTGAAATTAAAGATCAGAACAGAACAATCAGGACCATTACAGTACTATTACTAATATCATCCGAATGCTACTGCATCTTAACTGTCAAACCTTATACCAACAGTTCCAACACGAAACACTTGTGAAGGGTTAGAGCTATCCTGAACTTCGGTAACTGAACCCAATTGGAGTACTACTCTTACTTATTTCGTCTTATAGAGGAATTCAACCTTCGTCTGATCTGTTTATATCTGGTCATTTTTATGTGCAACTATACAGTGCATACAATCATTTAGTAACAATACAATATCTTGAAGAAAATTTTATCCTAAAAATCTAAATAGCAACTTAAAAGTCACAGTTTGTAATTATAAAAATTTCATTGTTTAACCTAATTTGGGAAATCACACACAGATATTCACCGATTACAAACCTCTTACCTAGCTGGATTCTGGTACATCATTTTATTGGCCGCTTCAGAAATAGCAACAGTTGTGATGTTTTGATGCAGTTGCGGTAGTGGCGGGTGATGTTGCTGCTGTTGTTGCTGATAATGATGTTGCTGCGATTGTTGTTGTTGTTGTTGTTGTTGGTTATGGTGGTGGTGGTGATGGTGATGATGATGACCTTGTACCTGTTGCGAGATGAACCGAGCAGTGTCTGCCACAGGGCTATCAATCGGAGTACTGCAAAACTACAGTCCTTTTTGATCCTTTATGATGGTGGTAACAATGGCAGATGGAAAGTACAGTTGTAAAATTAATTTCGAATTAAAAGAGCCACATATAAGCCCACTTTAAAATTTAAATTACTTTTATGCACCTAGAAAATAATTTTTTAACTTTGTTGAAATGAGCATACTACAGACCACTTGAATCAAGAAAAGCGGATATGGCCTACTATTTTTGATGCACGAATTTTTCGAGTTCAAAAAATATTCCGCTGTAAAGAATGTGATAAAATCATTAATAAAAATGTGAAAATCATTAATTAATATAACGAAACGGCTTTTCAAAATTTTTTTGATCAGCCGTGCTACTTATGGTATTACACCAATTACTTCATGTTACACTCAAACTCCTCTACAATTCAATACTGATATCAATACAAACCTCGTAAATGTATAAAATTTTTGCCCATAGAAAAGACTTTTCTTTTATAGATAGAAAATAAAAAAATATGGAACAATTTAAAAGCACAAGCTGAATTATTTCCGCTACTATTATTAGACTTACTATATTTTTTTATAGAAGTTAAAAAAAGTCCCATTTAAACCATTTTTCCTTTCTTCAAAAACTTAGAAAATCCTACCATACTGAAGTAATTACTTGTTTAATAAATAGGGACATTTCCCAAACAATATTTTTAAAAAGCCTTACGCCAATCTGCATCTACACTTTTCCCATTTCCTTACCTCCCTTTTCCCCCTTATCTTCAATTTGTTATTCTAAATCACTCTCCAATTCTAATAATTAGCGATCGTTTCATCTCTAACTTTTTACCTGATATTAAAGAAATGGAATACCAGCTCTTATGACCCTTAAAATCGTAGTATATTAGGAGACAGTTTAGGTATTCTGCCGATGGCTGTTAAAACGATCAAAAGCAACACCATGAAATCCTCTAAGTTCCAATTTCTCATCAAATTATGTTTTTGTCGATTGTTACCACTTTTTTTCAATCCGTTATTCGCATACTTTTCAGTTCATATTACCAAGCTAGATTTATCGAAACATAAAGTCACAATGCTGTGCTTAACAATGCGAGATAAAAAACATGTGAAGTTGGTACATTTAGGTGTTGTTTAATATAGTTAATAAAGGAAGGTTCCCTCAAAATATGGGAGTGTAATTATATCATTAAGGAACAAAGAGTGACCATGTTTTCAATCTTGGAAAATCTTATGTTAATTATAGGAGACAGAATTACTGATTTATACGATTAGTCACAGGCCGGTTCCTATCCTTAACTATATTTATTTCCTGCCTTGATCTGTTACCCTTACCCCTTATTTCTACGTCATTTTTTGGAGTAATCAAGGAAGAATCAAAAGGGAAAGACCAGGAAGATTAAAGAGACGAAGAGAATTTGAAACTTAATAAACTTAACAACATGAATTTGAAATTTAATAAATTCAACAATATCCATCGATTAAGAAATTTGAATAACACCACAGAAGTATAGAAAATAAAGCGATCACCTGTTCTCGTCCAAAAATCGAACAATATCGAAATCACCCGTGTAATCGCTCAATGGATCACTAAACGCCGTATCCTCTGCAAAAACAACAGAGGATAATAAATATGAGATAACAAGGATAAAATTTACAACATCCTCCTTCACTTGGATTTACACCTTCAAAAATAAGTGATATCGACCGTCGTGATATCGATCGCACCACAACCGAAACTATCCGCTCATTCATACGACAATGATCTGATTACAAGCCGAAAACGGTTAAGTTCTGAATTTTTAAAAGAGAACCTGTAGTTGCATTGAATACTATTAAACTTTTAGAATGTTTTCTGAAATTATTTCAGAAATTTTTTTCGTACTTAGTCTCTACTTATCATAACCCACAATAATCGTTATAAATTCAGCTTTCATTGGCAGAAGAGAAGAGATTCGGATCGATTTTTTATGAATTGAAAACTATGAATTAATATTTTTTTCCTTCATCACTTCATTAATTTCAAAAGATATGTTAAGAAAAGGAAATAAGACAGTTTGTAAATAATATGTTCTTCTTAGATCAAAAAATTATTAATATTACCTAGAAAATAAGACTGGAAATAAAGTGAAACATAAAGTGATGGTAATTTATCGAAATGTCTATTTTTACAAATAGACTAACGGAATTGCATGTGTGGTACTACAAAAAGATCTGTAAAGAGAAAGAAAAGAATACGGTGACACTAAATAACGAATCATTTATTGTGCAAGTAATTTTTTAATGCATTAAAAAAGATGAACTTATCCTTATACCCTTAGTCCCACTTTTCTAGTCCGTCCTTCTTTTCCAAATTCTATATAGCTCCAGCTCGTATCTGGAACTAAGATGTAAAAGAAAAAAGTGGGACGAAAAGGAAGGAAATAATAATGGTGGACCAGTTTAAAAAGGCAAGACAAAACTAGCTCTGCTTTCTGTCCTTCCTTGCCCTATGCTTAAATGTGACGTTCTGGTGCCAGGCGGTAACAACTTTAAAAAAACTCTAAAAAAAATCCTTTTTCTATTCTCTTGTTCTACTCTGAAACTAATGCAACACGGATAAACTTAGTTCGTTTCTCATACATATCATATATATGTACAAATACACGTACCTAACTACATATAGTGTCTCGTATACACGTATGTATGTCACCAACACTTATATACATATATACACAATTAAAGTAATCAATAAATTATACTATACTAAAATCGCGATGTATGCCACTCACAAATAACCGACACGTCTAGCATATAAGTTTCAGAGCAGGAAAAAGTTCTGGTTTTTTTAATCTTTCTTATTCATCACAAAAATTGAATAATGTTCGCTTCCCATATTTTGAATAGTCATCACATTTTATGAATATCTAAATCTTTTCTATTTCCAACAATCATCATACTTGACGAATGCTTCCTTATTCTTTCCTCAACATGCTTACTTATCAATTTGGCAACTCATTTTTCGATTTTCTTGCAAGTATGTGATTTTATACAGAAGAAAATATAATTACAATTCGGATGTTTAATCTATGATACATATACTTCTTTTCATGAGTCTATACGTTTAAATGACGCTAGGAAAGATACAGTATGATTCCGATATCCAACTAATGAATTATTACGGTCATCAAGCCTACAAATATTCATTTAATATCCCGTTAAATCTTCGCCAACTATTTACTTCTGAAATCATTACGGCTTATTGCAACGATGAGAATCTTTGATATCTAACCAAAGTTAACATATCTAGAGACAAACACACAAAATATTAATTATGATTTTTTTTTTGAAATTGGAAATCAAAGTATATAAACGATATGGTGATACACGTAATTTCTGAGTCTTGAAAGTTATCAATTAATGAATTACATATTTTAATGCTCCTAACAAATAATCCATGACTTGTTGAAATAATATCACCATATTATTTCTCTTCTCCACGTTTATTCAAGTCACTTTTCTGATAATCAATCTCATTCCCTATCGAATCACATATTGAAACCTATCCATTCCCAATCTGGAGGAGAAAAGTATAAAATATCTTCTGAAATGAAATTTCTGATAGAAATTTTCATATGCACTCGCCCATACTCTTCTAATTAATGATTATTCCATCCAATCTTCGGTTCGCTTAAAATCAATCTCTACTTCACCTTTCCCTTCCACATCTAAATTTGATGAAATTTTCGAAATGAATCGACCAGGCGATGATGCGCTCAACATTCTTCAATGACAATATTCTACTTCTGCTCCAAGTATTACAAAAAAAAGAAAAAAAATTGTCGAAAATATGGAAGGATTCGGTCAGGACGATGGTCATTGAACAAACTGGGTCACCCTTTCATTCACACAGGTTTACGACTAATTCATTCAAATTATTTTCTTGTTAATGTTCATAAAAAGAAAAAAATCTCTCTTTTCGATGAAAATTACAAGAAACTGTGAGTCTTTCATCCAAATATATCATAGTATTCGATCTACACAGATGCATCAAATGACTGGATAATCCAAGAGATCCATGAGTGAAATGGGACTGCAAAAAGAAAAAAGCGAGGGAAAAGTATAACGTAGAAGTGAATACTGATCATGATTTTCTCATATTTTCAGAAAATCTAGTTTTTCTCTTTTATAATACTTCAGGAATTGATAATGTAGATTTCCAAACATCGAAAGTTTCAAATATTTGCGAATACTTTATGATAACAATTCTTTCTACCAATCGCTGATTTCGACTCCTAAATTTAGTATTAGTCCGAAGAGTATTTTACTTTTCCTACTTGTGGGATATATCACAATAATTTCGAGCAGCATATTAAATTCGTGAATGTTACTAATTTGGTTTTCTAAGGACCTTATCTTTTAGACTTTTCCCTGCATTTCCGGTACGAAAAGTCAAATGAAGTGAAAAAGGTCTTAAAATCAATTGTATACATAATTGAGAAACACAAATCTATTCCCTCTTCCCCTTCCACCATTATTGAGATAGATAATAATCAGAAACCACTTTCTACCTAATATCAGTGTTAACTGTCACGATAAAATTGAATGATCAATAAAACGCAGGATGATGTAATGGGACGAGTTGGCTAGAAAAAAAAATTATCTGACAATAGACCATTGCTTCCTGCTCTATTCCATCCATTTCAACTAGCCTATCAAATTAAGGAAAAATAAAAAAAAAACTATCCATCCTTTATCCTCAACAAATAAGATGATTAAATCTAATCCACTGATCAATCAGTCAACCAATCAATGTCCACCTTTTGAATAAACTGTCCGCCTTTTAGCCATGCAGTTGTTGTCGTTGCTGTTATGTTAGCTGTTGTTGTTGTTGTTGCTGCTGCTGCTGTTGTTATTATCACTGAGAATAATATTTCATGGGAAATAGTAAAAAGACACCGACACAATGATAAGAAAGACCGAGAATCAGATGAGAATGTAGAAAGTTTTTCAGTTCGTTACCAGTTGTGATGATAGTAGTAGCAATGGTAGCAGTAGTGATAGTTGGTGTGGTCAGTTGCAAGGAAATCTGCCGATCGGTAGTGGTGGTATAATGAGTGTGACAGTGGTTGGAGTAGTAGGATGGCAGTGTTGGAATGGATTTGATGTATCGTCAGTGATGTCGTAGAAATAGAAGCAACAGCTATCGATGATGGTGATGATTAGTAGTGATCGGTGACGGACGATGATAACAACAGTAGCGATTGTCGTCGTAAATAATAATAGGTTCCTTATTGGTTCCTTTACTTTTTCATTTCTCTTTTTATCACTAACGTTAATAATATCTGCAGCAGTTCGAAAGCTGCTATTCAGAATGCTATGGATAAAACTTTGGCTTCCGGTATATCACAACTTAGACGAAATACACTTTTAACACGACAATGGATTCAATCATGTCCTTCGCAATTTAATCGTATCCCTTGGAATTATTCTTAAAAAAATATACACGCACACACATTTAGATATAACCGATTCGACAAATCAGCATTTGCGTAATATCTTGGGAAATTTTCCAATTAGTTTATTGAAGTTTCGCTAATATCTTGACGATTTTAGGGTCGCTTGAAATTTCGGTGATATCCTGGAAGGTTCTGGTCAGTTAGTTGCTCCGTAATCTGTCTGTAGTTGTAGTTCGTAGTAATACCCAAAAGAAATTTGTGTAGGTGTATGGCTGTATATATGTATCTGCTTGTCTGTTTGTTCGTATGCGGAATTGTCCATCTACAAAGAAGGGATGATCAACGGTGATTGCTGGTGCTAAGTGGGTAGGGGTTTGTGCCGGTGTAGTTCAAAACGTCGTCGAGAAAAGTCGATTTTGCTATTCCATCCCACATCATCCTCCTTCTCTTTAACTAATGCTACAATTTGGAGGTCTCGTCCCTTTTCGCCGTACCAGCCTGTGATCCTGTCGCCGATGCCCAACCAATAATACATATGTACGCTTCTCGATAAACACACCATAGCTCACACACACACACACACACACACACACACACACACA